TTTTTACATTTTGGCCTTCTGAATACAGATTATAGTAACTTCCAGCTGAAATATTTTTCCTGGAGTGAGCACAGTAAGGTAATGCCTAGGGCCTGGAGGAAGCCAAAGGTGCCTGAGATGCTGGCTCACAATGCTAAGTGACTAGGTATCAGGAAATTTTTGTACCCCCCGCCCCAAAAAATAAATAAATAAAATAATAATATATATATATATATATATATATATATTATATATATAAATATATATATATATAAATATATATATATATATATATATATATATAATGAAGAATACTAAATGCCTATTTGGCTAAGGCAGGTTCACAACAGATAGCATGGAATGGTTACCCACAGACTTTTCTTTTTGATAAAACCTTATGCGTGCACAAGGCATCATCAGTTCCTCATTTGGAATCATGTGTTGAGTGAGAGGTCAGCCATAGCTTTACTTTCTAATTTTTATTTTGTTCAGTATTTCATCCAATTTTGTGTGAATCTAATTATGTAAGTCCCAAATGATTGTGTGTGGGTATTCCTTCTTGGTTTTACAACTTGACTTCATGTAAAATACTAGTCTCAAAAAACATTGAAAAAGAATCTTGTAGAAGGTCTTCCTTCCCAATACTGAAACACTCCTAGAGTCATTCCAAAGTGACTTTTTGTGTACTTTTTTTTTTTTTTTTTTACCAACGTGAGATAAATTTCCATAGGGACAAATTTAATTAAGCTAACAATCTTGCTAAGTCATGTAGTTACTAGCTAGTAGATAAATAAAATGAACTCAGACTTATTTGTTATTTGTTCTCAGTCTTTAATCACCCAATAGTAATTCCATAATTGAATTAAAGTACTTAACCATTTTAATGCAAATTGACTGGCTTATAGCTCTTCAATGAGTAAATTATTGCAAATCTGGTACCCATGATATCAACGTTATTCACTTACAGTTAATTTATCTTCATAATAGTTGAGCCACTTTTCATTTATTCCAGAACTGGATGTTTTTGGTTTTTGTGTTTTGTTTTGTTTTGTTTTGTTTTTTTCTGGTAGAGATTGAAAATTAAGAACTTGGATAAAAAAAAAAAAAAAAAAACTTTATTTGTTTCTGTCGGTGTTTGGTTTTTTGTTTGTTTGTTTGTTTTTTCCTACAAAAAGGCTAAAATATTTCTGACAAGAAAAGGATCTAGGAATGATCCAGATCATAGCAGCAGGCCAGCTTCCACTGCAGTTTTACTAAAGCACAAACAAGTGTACTGTAGGCAAGAATAATGTTGCAAAATATCTCAGAAGGAAAACAAGAGCCCTTATCAAAAAATACTATTCATTAATAATTCCTTTTTAATGGCTAAAAAGAATACAAGTGCTTGTCTGTAGAGAGGAATTGTCTTCATTAGGAAGGCAATTTAATTAGAGCAACTACTTATGACTTAACAGAATATTTTACCAAACATGCACTACTTAAAAACATGTTTATATGAGTTCTAAAATAATAACTAGGAGAAGTTTACTGGAGAAACTGTACATAGACAAATCTATAACTGCATGTTGCAAAGACTCATGAATTTAAAAGTCAGCAAGGCAGGAATTAACTTCAAGTGCAAGGTCAACTTATTTGCTAGTTAGAACAGGGTTATCGGACAAGCTAGAAGTGCTGGGGATTTTGATGTGAAACAGGTTAAAATGGAGATTTTCACAACTGATAAATAATTATCATCAATTAGCATTTGGTAAGCAGGTGCCCTTACCATATAAAAGGAGGTGGTGGATAGATAGTGCTTTTCCTGCTGTGTGGCTTATAGGATGGTGAAGAGTTTTTGTTTAGAGAGAAGCCTTCTGAAATTACAGAGAAAGGTAACTTCTTTTTGTTAGATTCATTGTGCTTGAAAGGCCTTGACTTTGTCTCATAGAAGTAAAATAGTGCAATGCTTCAGGGAAGCTGGCCTGTAGGGTGGCAGTGTAATGGAGAGGAGGCAGAGCTGAATTTCTGAGGGAAAGAAGCAGAAATTGTTTTTGCTAATTCTGAAACAGTCAGATTTCTTTGTTAAGAGACAATAGGTTAGCTTTGTCCTTCCTGTGTTCTTTCAGATCTGTCTGATGTACCTGTCTGCTAGCTGGCGTAACCAGACCAGTTTGAGGCTCTGGAGGAGGAACTGGTTGGCGGTCCAGGTGGCCAGTGATGGGAGACTGCATGGTGATTTTTTGACCATTGTTAGATTAGGACTCAAGATCCCCTTAGGTTCTCCTGTTCTTTCTTTGGCATCTGAATTTGTAACAGTCTCTTCCGTGACAAAAATCCCTCCCATATGATAGCTCAATTATCCTTGTCTGTGCTAAGTCTACAATGAGTCTAAAAGAAGCCTGGAATGAGATTCCAAATGCTTTTGCAGCTATTAGCAGCATCTATAATACCCTTACTTGTTAAACTTTCAGAGTTGTAACATGTTAGTTTCTGGCATTTTTGACAGTGACAAATAAATACCAGGCACAGTGGGAGCTCGGAGCACATAATGGCTTACTTGAAAGAGTTTTACTCAAGGTTAGAAATTAAGGTTACCATCAAAGGCAGCTAATTGGATTGCAGGGCTTGTTTCCTCTTTAGGAAACATCAGATGTGCAAATCCTCCCATGCTTATGCTTGCCACGTACTAACAATTAAAGCTTTTTACCTGAAAACACCAGACAATTGTATGCAGAGAGAGGGAAAATCTTTCTTTTTGTGGAATAGTGGAGAGAAAATGATGGGTGATACTTGATTAGGGTAACAAATGTACAGGAGCTGGAAAACTCACCCTCTGCTTTGTCTGGATATTCTAAATGAAGGGTTTAATTTGGAAATGTTGTTACAAATCTGTCTGGACTCTAACTCTCACTAACCTCTGGCACTTTGAGTTTCTGCTAATGAGGTGCTATTTATCAAACTACTCAGCTATACGTTCTTTAAAATGGCTCTGCTGGTAATATGATTATTTGATTCTCAGACTGTCACCTCTGCAATCTCTGATCATTAGAATTACCTTCTCTTGTCATTCGCTTTCACTTTGCAGGTAAAAAAAATAATTTCTGTCTTGATAATGGATATGTGTTGGCTTAGCCCAGAATGTCCTGACCAACACTTCCTGGAGCATGTGCTCTTTTCTATCATATATGAGAACAAAGCATATTTCACATATTTAGTATTCCTATAATCTTTAGGCTTGGATTTTTCTGAAGATGTTAGTCCTGTGACCTTATCTGAATGTAACAGCAACTTCTGGAGTGGAATTGATGGGATGTGGGTGTTAAGCATCTCCCAGAACTGTGGGATGCTACCTGTTAAATGTTTTCTTCTATTGCTTCAGCATGTCTGTAGCATGTAGAGATGTGTATCATGTATTAGCAAATTTGCTAAATCTCAGTGCTTCTGTTAGGAAAGCAGAAAGGTGTTTTCTGACCATCAGAAGAATGAGGTTCCAAAAGTCTCACGACTGTAGTGGGGCAAGCAATCTAAGTACTTGCAAACTGCAAGTACTTATGATGAAACAGGGAAAGCATCAGTATTTTATAATAAGGAAAGAAAAGCATCAAAGAAATACATGCTTGTTGCAAGTCTTAGTATCCCTTTCCTAATTGTCATCACACTTTACCATCACTGCCTGTTATTACTGAGGAAAGCAATGGTGATATCATGGGCTATTTGTGACTGTGGCTTAGTGTAATTAAGAATAATGATAACATAATAATAATGGTCTTGTACTGCAGCTCAGATGTCTCTAGGCAGTGGAAGTAGGATGGTAATTCCTAGTCATTTAATGAAAAAAATTGTTGCTTGGGATCTGCAAAGGGAGGGGAAAGAGGCTAGAAAAACTGTTGTAGTCAGAAAAATCTGATGCAATGTGTTTAGGATGTGCCAAATATGTTTCTGGGAACTGTAAAGATGGTTATATTTAACAGAACATTAGCATGAGCTGTAAAAACAGATGTTCTCCCTCAAGGACAGTGATGAAGCATTAATTACAGGTAGAGATGAGTTTAAATGAAGACTGGAAAAGCTGCTGCTACTGGAATCTTTTCTTGGTAGAGCTGATTTATTGTAGCTAACCTTGGAATACAAGTTCTAATGAAGATGAACCTTGAAACCAGGCAGGTAAATGTATTGTTCTATGGCCCAACACGATACATTCCATTTACATCATGTTGGAAATTAAGCCTGGTATGAATTGCAGTTGTAACGAGCAGCTTGCCCTGTGATTTCAATGAACGTACCTGATGGGGATAACTGCTTTACAAATGCCAAGGACACTTACCCCTATTTAGAGCAAATGACTTCCTGGACCACATCAGTTACAGTGATGGAGGTGCAGTGTGCCTAAATGAAAATGTATAAATTCAAGCAGGTGATTAAATGTTGCTGCCTGGGGTAACTATAAAGCAGAAGAATTGCTTTAACTAAGACAGAAGAGGTCAATTTATGGTTGGGTTTTCCTAGTCTGGAAAAAGTAGTAAATAGAGGCAGAGGATACTGCAGTAACAGCTTGTAAATTTAAGCAGAAGTAGTGGCAGTGTGTCTGTATATAAATGAATACTGAATGGTGATACTCAAAGCCAAGTGACTACAGTTTTCTGGTAACCAAGGCAGGATGTGAAAATGTGGATAATAAGAATTATTTTTTGAAAGCTTTTAATCTCTTTAATTAGTGTACTGGCTCAAAATCTCTCAGGTGTTGCTGATGTAGTTCAGGTTTAAAATAATGGCTAATTTGCTTAATTGCGTGCTTGATCTACTCTCATCTCTCCAGAAAGCAAAACTGAAGTCTGAGTTCCTCTGTACTATTGTTGTTCTACCTGGTACATCACTGAGCTGCTCTGAGCATTATTTTGGATTTCAGAAGGAGCATAGTTGTTCTGATGCACTACTCTGCCAGTACTGAGGCATTTTGTAGTGCAGTTCTCAGGCTTAGGTGTAAAGCTCTCCTAATGTAAATTATTTCCCTGCCTTTGGCTGACTTAATCCAGTTTCATGCAATGCTTCTCTATTTTTTCAGAAAAATTCATTGCTTGGAGGAGGTTGGGGAAGGATATTGCTGAAAGACCTGCATATGGGCTAGGATGTTGTTGAATTGCTCTAGGTGAGAAGCAAATTGCAACTTAATAATAAGGGGTAAAGGTGAAGGAGGTTGTGGTGGGGGGAAGCAGTGCTGTTTGTGCAACTGCACTACATGAAGATATGGGTGGTAGGGCCAAAGACTTGACCAGTTTCCTAGTACCTCCTGGCCCAGGCAATGTAGCAGCTTAGCAAGACAGATTTCCTATTAGCTCTCCCTATTCTCTGTGCAATATGAGGCACAGCTCTTTCCTGGTGAGGATAGCATTTGACTCTAAAACTGTTCCTAGAAACAGTGCTCACACTGGTCACAGGGGCTGTGTTCATCACATAGGGGTACATGCACAAAAAGCTGACTGCTTTTGTTCTCAGTCACCCTCATAGTTTAACATAAACAGTGTTTAAAATGTATTTTAATGAAGCAATTCAGAAGAACCTGTAAAGAAAATAGTATGGCAGGTCGGTTGAGTCCTGAGACATGTGGATGCTGAAATTAGTTGAGAACTTCACACAGTTAAGGATGATCACGCATGGTTAAACCGGCTTAGAGTTCATCTTCTTCCTATTATTAAAAATGGTAATGGAAATAAAATGGAACCAAAACCAGTGATTAGAAATGAAATTATATCTTAGAGAAAGGAGGGGAAAATGAAACTGTTCTGAAAGAAGAACAGATACAGCAGGACAATAGCAGGTACTTATTTCTTCTGTTATTAGTGCAGTTCGTGCAAGAGGTAAAGAGGCTTAAATAAGAAAAATAACTAGTTGAATCCTTAGAAAATTCAGCTGTGGTCTTAATTAGATGATTGTGGTAAGTGTAAGCTATTTAATATTCAAGCCAGAGTTCAGAAACATTTAGACATGTAAATGATTATTTGATTTCTGTCCTTTAAGAGAAGTATCTCTCACTTTAATTTCTTCTGTTCACAAAAACTTGGTTTCTGCCCACCTTACATATCTAGTAAATATCTATCCATGCTTGCCAACTGAAATTATGAAATAAAACCAGCATGAAGCAATTCCTGCTTGGAATCTGCTTTGATAGGTATGAGGATGAGAGAGTATTTTCATGAATTTCTCAGTTTATCAAGTTCATCTTTCCCAGGAAAAACATGTGTCCCCCCAGGAACAGATGTGCATAAAGTTTGATTGCATCAGTAGGTGATCTGGTATGCTGAACAGTGTAACTAACAGCAAAATGGTAAAAGGCTTAAGACCTACAGGCATTGATCGTGCAGCTGGAAGTATTGGCAGTTGATTGCAAGGGGACAAGAGTCATGTATTGATCAGGTTATAATGAAGATTGAATGTGAAGAAACTGGGAAAGTTATAATCTGTTCTTAAACAATAGGTAATTCTGCTACAAAGGAAAGAGGTTTAAATGTAGCTTAAAATATTGCAATTGCTGTATTGTAGGATTCAAAATGCTTTAATATGTACCGGTCCTCTAACAGGCATGGGAGAATGTTTATGCAGCAAGCTATGTACATCATATCTGTAATACCTTGAGGGTACTTCAAACTCCTCTTCCAATACAAGCTCACTGCTTCTTTCAAGTCTCTGGTCTGTGTGTTCAGGTTGCAGTACAAGATGCATGTGAATTGCATTACCTAGAACTAAAGATGAACTTAGGGTCAGCAGGTGCAGTGTGTTTTGTTGTGCCTGCTGCTGAAGAGGCACAGTCAGCACCAAGGGATGCATGCTGATTGCTGTGCCTCTGGTGCACAGAAAATCAGCTGATGTGTTCAGAGAACAGGAAGATATTCCTGAGCTGGGGCTGCCAGATATGTTTTGCAAGTCATGAGATTCAGGGAGAAGCAAAATAGCAAAGCTTTAGATAAGAGCAGCCAGAAGCTGGAATGTGAGCTTTTTCTTAAGTAGACAAGGGTAGTTCCTCCTAGTAGGTCTTCTTTCAGAGAGCAGTATTCCTTCTGGGAAGAGTCCAGCCACTGCTCAAAAGACAGACTTATTCCCAACTCTGCCATTTCCACTGCAAACAGAGGCAGATGGTGCTGTGGTGTCTCTGGACCATATGTTCTTTGTTTGCTCAATTGGTTCTTTTGTCTGTTCTTGTAATTCTGCACTGGTTTCTCCACCTGCTCATTTGCAAAAAGATGGATGGTCTCTTTGCTGGTTTGTCTGCTTTTACTTTATTTTCCATGACCACACTTTTAATTGTCACTATTCTGGAATTGTCAAACAGTGACTTTTGAGCACTTAAATTAGAAAGATATGACTGTAACAGCATAAGGTAGTAAGGTTGTGTAGTCCAAGCAGCTGCTGTGCATCTCTTTCAGTCTTGTGGAGCATACATCTTTTCACTTCTGCTGACTTAACTTCTGTGACTTTGCTGATAGTGTTCCCATTTTGTCATTTATTAATGTGTTAAGTCCAACTGCTGTTAGATTAAGAAGAATTAATTGTAATTGTTTTGGGTGGTATTAAGCTTAGCTACAATACATTGAGCCTGTGCAACTTGGGCATCATTAAGAAAAATAATATTGTTGCATAAATATTTTTATTAAAGCTTTATTCCCTAACTGGAAGACAGAATTACCATTTTAAGATAACTGGCAGGCATAGTGCTAAAGCAAGATTACACTGTCAGGATACAGAGATAAATTTAGTCAAAATAGGCTGTTACTATTAAAATGTTCCATTCCATTCTATAACAAAGTAATGCATATTCGTATTAGTGGTGAGTGAGCTCTTAAGCAAGTAATTTCTCCTAAAATTCCAATTAGAGTACATTGTTGCTAATAAAGATGCCCTGTTTTATCCTGCAGCTGACAAGCAATAGAGACATAATTTATCAGTACGGTGGAAGCAAGCCCCTAAGAAGAAGTGTACTTCTGGTGGCCTGTAATGTTCCCTAGTGCCCCCTTTATTTCTTCTCTTCTATTGTTTAATATTAATAAACTCCTGCCATAAGCAAGTCATTCCTAATGATCCCATTGATTTAAACAGAAAAGCACATATGAGAATTAGCTGGGGAAGATAAGAAATAAATCAGTTTACTGTGTCCGGTGGCTTCTCTCCAGCACTACCAGCACCAGCTGCTTTGGTACCTGCAGCCCTTGCTAGCCCTTGGAGCATGACTGCGGAAGTCAAACTTAGCCCTGACCCCTGCTTGTTGGAGGCTGACCAGTGGTCTCTAACAGGACTAAACTTTTCCAGCTCTTCTGGTTGCTCTAATCATTGCTATTTGGACTTGGCCATTCTTCTCACCTGCAAATCCTTGTTATTGAACATGTCCTGCTACTAGCTGTATTTGATGCAGTACATGTCTCTGTCTCAAAAACATTTCCCTTTTGGCTTTGTTGTGCATCCTCATACAGGAATGAAAAGGTCATGCTAGTAAACCTTTCCAAGTGCAGTCAGAATTGGCTGCTACAAAAGTGATCTCTGCCTTTGCCAAGCTGTAGGCACCCAGAGATGAACTGATAAAGAGAAATTGAGTAAAGCAAGTAACTGGCCCTGAATCTCCTTTTCCTTTCAGTTTACCTAGGTCTATGACAGATGTTTATGTACAAAGATTTATGAGTAGGTTTATTCGGAAAGATCTTATCTGGCACTTGAACTGCGTTAAGAATTAGGGACACTTCAGAGGGTAAATTGATGAATAGGGCTACTTGTTGATCCAGATCAGCAAAGAGCAGTTTTAAGCTGCAGAAGATTCATCTGGAAGAAGGAACATCAACACTGGTATCTCTTAATATACCTTTTCATTTATTCAAATAATGAGTTGAAGCAGGAGAGGGAGTAATGTTTGTCTGAAGAGCTTTAATAAGATTTCATTTAAGTAAATTCTATTGGCTAAAAATTATATATCTTTAGTCTTATAAATCAAAAAGTATCTTTGCTGACCTTCCTTATCTCTTCCCCTCCAGGCTAGATGAATTTTGAAAAGCATTGTTTTGTTAATTTCAGCCATTTCAAATTTGAAATGCATTTTTATATTGTCAAAATTAATGTGGAATCACGGCTCTTCAAATTTTAAAATGGGTTTTCTAATAATGAGAAAACTAACTGGAGAGTTAAGGTAAAGCAAACTTTTTCTCTGTAAAACATCAGTTTTCTACATTTCCCATAAAGGGGGGAAAAATAATTGAAAGAAATTGCCAGCTGTTCTCCCTAGTGGCACATGAATGAAAACCAATGGAGAAAATTAACCTGCTATCTACCCTTATTTACAGTGTGTAAGTTTAGGGCAGATAGGGAAGAATTTTACTTTGGAAGCTGTGATTTGTTTTTCTAACCTTCCTCCATCACCCCAACAGATAAGGAACAAATAAAGGCAGAGATATGAATATCAAAGTAATGTCAAGAGGATGTTCCTGCAAACCAGTCCAAGGAAGGCTTTAATACTTTCCATATAGATGATGATGTATGTTGATTAATCCATATCACTTCACTCACAGATGTGCAGTGATTCCATCAGATGCTTTATTGCCTACAGAGGGAGTTGCAGTTAGAGTTCACCTGTCGTCTTTTCAAAATTTATTTAAAGAAGGAAAACAACAACACTTCCCCGAAGAGCTGCAAATGTTGAAGCCTGTTCCACACAGCCTTTCATTACAGGGAGTAGTCAGTCCCCTACCAATCATTAGTGTCCTTTAAGCACAATGTCACTGCCTCATGTTTTCTTAAGAAACTTTGTTTTCCAAGATGCCAGATACTGAATGGGCTGAGGGGAGCAAGTGCCACTTGCGGGAAAAGAAATTTCCTGCAGACCAGGAGCCAGTGTTAAGGACCGAGTTTAGATGCAGGCAGGGAGGGGAACAAATATAAGGCAGGGAAGTTTGCAGTCGGAGGAGGAGCGGAAGTGTAGAAGAAGCAAGAAGGAGCTCTACAACTTGATGTAGGTCTTCAGGATCACATACTGCACTGCATAATGCTAACAGTACTTCAGTACAGCACTACTTGTTCTTTGACACATTTTAGAGGGTTTTTTATTAGTTACAAATTGCAGGTTTAATTCTATGTTTGGTTGAGAGTCTAGGATAGTTTTTTATTGTTTTTTTCTGAAGAGGATTGGGGCTATCCCAGGATGGAGTTCATTTTCTGTAGAACAAGGTCTAAAATAATACTTAAAAAGTGGGGAAAAATATAGATAAAATCAAGGACTCAACTCTTTGTAACTTCATCGGTTTCTGTTCTAGAGAATAGCCCAGATGCCCTTCATTTAGCCAGTCAAGCTAATGCCAAACAACTTAGAGGAAGTTTTGTTGCTTTAATTTGTTTTTCATTGTCCCTTCCTGCAACTGTGCACCCAGATCTTGCCTAGCGGAGGGTCAAGCTGGGCCCTATTGGACCTTCTAAAAGATTGTGGGACTATTGATAACTGAGGAGCAAAGTCCTATATGTTAATATTGCTTGCCTAAGTGTCCGTAGTATGGCTATCATGCTAAACTTTACTTCCACTTCTGTCCTGTCGTAAAGTTGAATGTCTGAACTGGCAGCTTCCTTTGTATGCTCTTTTCCAGAGGTTTGGTTCCTGTAAGGATGAGGAATCAAAGATATTTTATGGTAGGATGAGCACCTCCGGCTAGAACAAAATGACTAGCTTTTTAGTGGATGATTTCATTCTGGAGAGAAATAAACCCAGATTATCACCCTAAAGCGAGGGAGAAAAAATGCATGGTTCCCTGTTACCTGTGGGTCAATAATCCAGAGAGCTTGCTTTTTTTTTTTTTTTCAAAAGTATGGACACAAGTATCTTCTATTTCTCAGTTGAACTTTTCTCTGTGCTCTCATAGCAGTTTAATGTTTTGTCAATCCAGGGATGCAACCATTCCTTGTAGGTTCCTCACAGCATACAGCTCTCTTGTTCACAAATAGTTTTTTTGCTTTTTTTTTTTTTTGCCATGGAGGCTCTAATGACCTTAAATGGTTGAGAGCTTGATGTATGTTCTCTAAAACTGCCTACAGCCAAGCCAACTTCAGAATTAAAATAATTATCATAAATGAATTAGAGCAAAGACAAAATATTAAGTGAGAAGAAAAAAGGAGAGTATGAAGAAACTGTTTATAAATAAATGACCTATCAGTTATAAATAAGAAATTATTCTTCCCCCCATGTTCAGCAGGGTGGAGACTCAGTGAAGCTGAAGATATTCATGTTCCTTGTTCTTACCCAAAGATTTATGTGAATGTGGACATACATATGCATGCACGCTGCTAAATTTAGACTGCATTCCTGTAGAAATTGGAGGATTAAATTATAGTTGCTCTAGTTGAAGTAGTGTTTGGCTCTGAATCGGTCATGCATCCAGTCTGTTTGCTTTGGTTTAGATATTGGTCTTGCTTCCCTCCCTCCTCACCCCCATCTCCACCTGTGGGCTCACTTCTACCTACTCTTTATTTTAACATGTAACCTCTTCAGAAAATATAAATTGACCAAGTTGCTTACTGGAGGACAGGATAAAATATCCTTGCCTTCTGCTGTTGCTCTCCCTAGCTCTCTGCATTGCTGCAATAACAGGGGGTGTTGCACTAGGATCTGCCTGGCTGCAAGAAGAAATGGGGGGCAGGGACCCAATGGGTCCAAGGCCAGCTGAGCCCACTGACCAGCTTGTTCACAGTGCAGTACCCAAATGGTCTTGCCAGTGCAAATGATGGACACTGCGCTGCATCCAGGAGGGGAGGCAGGAGATGCTACAATTGACTTAATTCCTGCTGTAGTACCCCTTCCCTGCAACACAGCATGTATGTTCCTGGTTGTAAGATGTATGGTATCACACAGAAGCTGCTCTGCTCTTGGTGTCTATGCCTTATATTGCAACAGCATCAGCACCTGAGCTGTAGCATGTAGGAGAGCCATATATATAATGCAGTTGGTTTGAGTTCTTCTGAATGTGCTCCCCATGGTGAGGAGAAGGGAGCCAATATTTCAACGTATGCTTTGGGGTCAATCCTAATCCCCTGCCACTATTTTTACTTCATGGTTTACTCAGCTGGTACCTTCTCTCCCATTGGGACTGTGGCACCTCATCCATGCATAGTTATCTCCCCAAGTGCATCTTATTTCCCCTGCTTTCCCATATGGCTATGATTATGGCAGGGAAACAGGAACCACGCGAGGCTGCTCAGAGTCAAGCCCTTGGTAACAGTCCAAGGCATGCACAGAAGTGCATTGCTGTCACCTAGTGATGAGCAATGACAGGTTTGCCAGTTGCCAATTAATTGTATGGATCACAAACATAGCTTATGCAGCTGTTACCAGATTTTCCAGCCAAATCTGATATGAAAAGAGCAATAGACAGCTCTCCAGCAGATGCTTGGGCCTGGATTGCAGCCAGTCCTGCAAGAAAGAGGCCCACTAACCTTTCCTCTCTTGTGATCTTTCCAGTTGGAAAGGAGTCTACAAGAGTTCCTGGGGGAAAGGAAGGGAGAGACCTCATTACCATGATTCACAACTTCACTTTAGCACAAGCCATCAGAACTTGCACCCCTAGAATGGGCTTGTGGAAGTCTGCAGAAGACACTAGGGGCTCTTGTAGTGTGTATAATAAGGCAGAAACTGTACTTACCTACCTGCCTACCATACAAAGGGATGCGGAATACAGTTTCTATGACTGTTTGAACAGTAGCTAGTGCACACTAGAAATAACATCAGAATAACAAGAATCCGTAGAAATTGTTCACAGATGCAATAATTGGAGGCTAGTGCCTCCATCTAGTTAGTATATCCTGATTATAGGTAGGAATTCTAGTCTGATAACAAAGAACTTGAGAAGAAAATTCCTTCACGCACTAGGAAGAGAAATAACCTGTGCTGCTACTTCTGTGCCTTAAAGCTTTCATCCTAATGTCTAGTCATGAACAGTTGGCTTAAGACCAGAAAGTGGAGATTTAATGGCCCTTTCAAGCGTTGGGGTCATCTGCACTATTATATAACTGTCAGATGTCCACTCCTTCTTCAACTGTGATTGATGGTTTCAGCCTTAATGAGCGTCCAGTGGCCAATGAGTTTCTCGGCATAATTATATGCTGTCAAAGTACCTTCATGTAGGCACTTTGTAGGTTTTTAAGCATTTTTAATCTGCCATCTTGCAGCTCTGATTAATGTTGGCTATGACCACTAGCTATAGCATTGGTGTATGCCAGCTGACATCTCAAATACAGAGGAGTCTTTTTTGTTCTCCCCTGCATATCCAATTTTTGGTCTGGGGGATTATTCTTTTGTGCTTCTTTGTCTATCAGCACTGTGTCCCAAGGTGGGAGGGGGAGGAGGGGTGTTATATCAGTTCTTTAACCTTTCTTCCTAGTGTTATTGATTATCACTTTCACAGGCACTCTGAGATTTGCCTCATGTGGAAGGTGACCCACAAAAAGAAACATGAAGAAAAACCTGGTGCGATTCTAATGCTGAGGAAGGTCCTGGTCTCTGACTAGGTGCATTTTTTATTTATTTATTTTTACGATTTTTAGCAAGGGGAGGTTTTCATTTTTAGTGGGTTCCTCCTGTTCTCTGTGATCATATACCATTTTCTTTTTCCTTGAGAAAATGTGGGTGTATCCCTCCTAGATTAGTAGATGCTGGGATCATACTTTGCATGATTAGATCTATCTGCTTGATTCATGCATCGAAGTCTTAATAATGTGTCCTTACTGCAAGCACTGAATGTTACTAGGCCTTAGAGTGTTTTATTGTCTAAATTTTTGATCCATGGCTTGAGTAATATGCTGGGAGCCTTGACTGCAATAAACTGTCCCTTAAGAACCAAGACTTTTTGTTTTCTGATCTAGCTGTTTATATCAAGTTTAACAGCCTGGACTCTGGCTCTGTGAAATAGCTTTGGGGTCATTCTGTTGTGTAGTCTATTGTTCATTTCATAGATACCTTACAGCTTCCATTTTTTTCTTTATTTCAGAGCTGACAGCATCTCCTGAGTACCTTCAATGTTAGCTTCTGGGGCTTGAGATCTATAGGTTAGGAGTAGAGACTGAAAAAGGGAATTGATTATAGTACAGCTAGATAAAAATAAATTAAAAAAAAAAAAAAAACCTGTAGACATGAATCTGTCAGAGAAGAAAATAGTAATCACACAGAATCACAATCTTCCATCTTGTGTAGAATCTCATGTTTTTTATTGAAATGAACAAAGTATGCTTTGCTTCAAGGTCTTCTTTCCTGATAACTTATCCTCTGTATGCTATTATCCCTTTTACCTTGACTAAGCTTTCTTTTTATTCCCTGTTTTCTGAACTGAATGTAGAGCTCTCTTGTTGTTTGTTTAAAGTGAAGAGCTCCACGAATCCCCTTGATCACTTTTAAAATTTCCTCTGCTGCATGTTAATGGAGACAAGTACCTATCTGCTGAAAAGATCTTCTGTGTGATAAACCAATTTGAGGCAGTGTAAAAGGAAGGGATAGAATGTCTTGTCTAATCCACTTCCCTTTCTAATCATAAAGTATTGTTTGAACAGGAAAAGGTTGACATTACTGAAAATAACCTTTGCAGTGACAGACTTCTGAAGTATGTGACAAAGCCAAATATCCCTAACATATAATAAAATCAAAAAAGCCATGATGTTAGTTGTGAAGGTATGTACCTGCCTAAAAGAACTGTTACAGCAAATATAGAAAATATAAATTCTGTCCTCAAGAAAACTCTGTTCTGAAAGTGTTTTTGTTATAGATCTAAACATCAAAGTGGAAACTTGCACTGACTCTAACTTTGTAACAAATTTATCTTGAAAATAAGTGTAGTGTATCAGGGCTCTCTATGCAAGTAAAAAGTTTTAGTGTTTCAAAACTACAATGTTGTCTGTTCGACAAGCCCTAGAAATTTTCTTGGATTCTTCCATTTGAAAAATTCTATCCAAGTTGTTCGTTCCTTTAAAAAAAAAAAAAACTTTCCATTTCTGATGGAAAACTTGTGGTCAACCTAAGTGTACTGGTGTTACTACCCATAGAGATGATAGTCCTCTTATCTCACAGAAAGGAATCCTGAAATACAATACATAAATATAAGAGAACTCCTATGGCTTGTGCTTACAGAATGTCAGCTCTGCAGGAAGGAGAACAGCATGGTTCCATATGGTGTTGATTTAGGCGTAATATCAAAGAGGGACTTGAGTCACTAGCTAATTATCTGAAGATATGTGCTCTCCACTTGGAGCTTCAGGTATACCTACTTGTGAGTCCATCACATGATAATCACATAGCATTTAAGTCTTATCTTTACAGCAAAGCAGTGAAAGAATTGGATTTAACATGTCTCAAGAACTTCCTTGAACTTGAATTTTCTTGATCTCCAGATGAAGTAAGACTCTTGCAATTTTTCACACCTTGGAAATTTTTAAAAGGCAAACTATTTTTTCAGTAAAAGCGAAATGTTTCATTCTGATTTTAATGACTGTAAGTGGGCTTTTTTTTTTAAAAAAAAAGGTAAAAATACAGGAGTTCAAATGAAAAGTAACTTCATAAAATTAATGAAAGGTTCTGTGCCAGAAACTTCAGAATTGACATTCAAGGCTGATAGCTGTCTGTACCTAGCTTCAAGAAGCTGAGGGCAAAAGCAATGAGAGGTCTTGAGAAAACTGGACTATCCAAGTAAATATTAGGATCAGGGACAAAAAATAATAAGCTGAGGTCTAGAAGGGGAAAGAATTTTTCAACTGAGACTTGAAAGGTATAAAAAAATTTTTTTGCAGCAGAAGATAAGGGTCTTGCCCTGAATGGTTGTTACTAAATGAAGGATGATAGAGTGGAGAACAGAGAAGGAGTAACACAGCATGTCATTCGGTGAAGAAGACCCTTCAAAGCTTTTGGAAGTAAAGCAATTTTGAATTGAAAAAAATTGAAAATTTTGAACTCTTGGCAAAGTGGAAAGCCAATGTGTGTGACGTGGTGGCTGTGTTGTGTAGGAGGAAGAAGGTAAGGCTTAAATCCTTTAGGAAATTTTCTCTGGGGCACCCATTGCAGGTGAAATTTTCTCAGCCACCTGCTTTAATACCTGCTGTAAACTGCACTTCTTGCTAAATAGCCTTTTCTGTCCCAGGGGTCTACCTGGTTACATAGCATGTTTAACCTTTCCAAGGTGAAACACAGAAAGCAGGGTGGGAAGTGTGATCTCACAACCAAGACAGTAAAGATTGATCCAGCACTGAGGATGTGCTGCCCCAGCGTATGTAAGAAAGCATCTAAAAAACCTGAAATCTTTCTGTAGTGTTTTTAGAAGTTTCCCATATTGATCCCTCCTGTTTAGCAGCAGGGACCTATGCAGCATATCAGCTCTGTGGGAAGCCACAATCAATAGCTCAGTGCAATGGCCTGACAGTTATTTACTCATCAGCTCATTAGGGTGGGGAGAGTAGATTACAATTCTCATAATTTCACTATTGACTGGCATGCTGCACTTGGGTTATGTTTTAACTACCTAATAATGAATGTGCCTGAAGGAGGGGGGGAAATCTTTTGTAATGAGAGATTCTTGTAAAAGCAAAGAATCATTTGTGGTAAGACAAAGAAACTTCAACCATGATAAAGTGAAAATAAGAGAAAGGAAGAGTGGTGGCAGCTCAGCCTTTTGGTAAAATGAAGTTCCTGCTTTGCATTAATGAGGACAGGTCCAGCGATGGCTGGCTGTGTAAGCTGGAGTCCCCTGCAGTGATCAGTTCTTATCCAGTGCTGTTGACTGAAGTGATAAGAAGCAAATTTAGTCTAAAGTCAATGTCGGTGTGGCACTGACTAGCAGACAATTAGGAGGACTTGCCCTGGAAGGACTCCAGCATGGCAAAGGGACTTTAGGGAGCCTTACTAAACAAATGTGTTGCTTTCAGTCCATGATCACTATTACAAGCTGCTGGTGCCTGCAAAGAGGGAACAAAGACCACTCTTGCTTCTCAGGACTGTCCACATTAATGATCTATAAAGCTGATCCATCTGTTTACCTTCCCAGCACTCTTGTGACATAGGACATATAAGCGAGGACTGTATCCAGTTAGAAACCATGGGATCTGGGCACACATTTACATACTCAATGGAACAGAAGCCTCAACGCTCTGATGAACCACTTTGAGCAGACCTATAAACCAAGGCTGTAGTTTTCTTGATTGCTTGCCAAGTTGCTGCTTTTTCAATTGCCTATAGGGAGTGTTTTTTATCATTTTGTACCTTTATGACATAAGACATTAATATTTAAGACTGACTCTCCTTGATTTGATATGATCTTGCATTTTTAAATTTGCTTTCTATATAATTCTTCTGTGGATGAGCAAGTATATTATCTTCTGTGGAGTGACTGGAATGTTGGATCCAGGCACTTCTAAATCTTCTGTGAAGCAAAGCACTCCAAGAAGCTAAAAACTAATTTATGAGAGCTATTCAGAAAAGGAAAAATGTCAAGAGAAGTGTTCAGCCTTTACATTGATTTTTCTTGTGACTGCCTGCATTCTGAACTTGTGCTTATATTCATTGCCTGAAAAACTGTCTCCTTTGCAACTCTCCTACAAGGATGCATTTTCTATTTCTGATTATAAACTAGTAAGATATTTTTTTCTTCTGTTTTTCATTGCCAGGAAAGAAAAAATACTGTTGTAAGAAATAAATGGTACTAAGGGCTTTTTGTAAAGGTATTAACTACAAGTTTCATTCATTGGGTATCGTGAGGTATTGAGATTGGCTAATTATTGCTTGTCACAAAAATATTCTTCCAAGATTAGACAGTAGGCTATATAAATGGGTGGGTTTCTTGCTAAAGTGCTTGAAATTGACCGAGGAAAAAAAGGAAGTTCTCAGTGGAAACTTTTGCATTAGTTTCAGTAAGCCTTAATCAGGCCCCTATAATAGAGCAACATTTCCAAAACATGATACTTGAGTAGCAGGTATAACTTGTCTGTGGAGAACCAGGTAGCAAAGAGTAATAGGAGTTGATCTGAAATATTTATGCAACCACATCCATAAAGCAGCACTGTTTCCATTCAGAACCATTGCATGCAGGAATTCATGTCTGCTGATGCACTATGTTCTTCTGATGGATTTAAAAAAAAAAAAGCTCTGTAGCATCCCAAAGGCAGAGTATAATGGCACATCATGTTGTCTGACAGTTCAATTTTTAGTAAAATAAGTCTAGCTTACACACTGAGGAAGGTGCTGAAAGCAGTAACGTAGCTATAGGTTGCTGCATCACAGGAATACTGCAAGCAGCTATGGAATACCAGACTCAGCAAGGCTGATATTTAGCACTGACCAATAAAACATTATTTCCAGACATTCACAGCTCCCTGCCCTGGCTAGAGCCTGGTTGTGGTCGCCTTACCAAAGCACTTTCCATGGAGCCTGCCCTATTTCAAGTAGCTGAGAGGCAGAGGACCAACTTCTTTTTTATTTTATAAGAGAAAAAGCATGAGTTGTTAAAATGCAAGTAACTACAAGTTAAGCAGTTAGTTGTGTTTTTAGCTCCCAGAATTGGGACAATATTACTGGCTAGGCTTGAGTTTAGGTGGAGGAACATTCAGTTTTGCAGCAGAGGTGTGTGGCTATAGCTTCTGCTTGCTAGGTTTTCTTGTTTCACTGTGGCCTAGAGAAGACCACAGCATTACAAGGGTTACAGTGGGCTAAAATGCATGGAGAGGATTTCTGTCGGAGCATTGTGCTAATGAGTGGCAAATAGAGCCTGTCTAATAGCTGTCTGTTGCTTCTATATGTTTTCATTTAACACTTTGAAATGCAAAGCGTCATTCTCCTTCATAAAGCCCTTCAGAAGTGTTCTTACTGACACCATGGAACAAAAGCCAAGTTCTTGGAGTAGTGACATGCTAGCAGTGAAGCTGAAGAGGGCACAAGCAGTGGTTAATAAACTATAAATCTATTTTCCGAGTCCTATCCTAACTATTCTTTGATCATAAGATCTTGCTAGGACTCAACTAAGGTAAATAGAGCTTGGTACTTAAACACAAATGGTGAGCAGAGCTCTGTCTTTGGGGGAAATACGTGAAGAGAGTGAATGGTGGTATTCAATAGTGAAAAAATCACATAAATAC